GTCATCTGGTGTGGCCCACACCCCCTGCACCTCCCAGTGATTCTACTGTTTCTGGTTCAGGTCTTCACCTCTGGAGCAGCAGAAAACAAGCTTGTTTCATCTTCTCTGCAAGAACCCTTACGATATTTGAAGGTAGCTTTCATGTACCTCTAAATCTTCTCTTTCCCCAAGCTAAACAGAATTATTTGGATGTACATCTCTTATTCTGAAGAATCAAATACATAACTTCTATAGAATTAAAGCTGCTAGTTCAGGATTGCCCCAGACCCTGACATTCACAAACCAAAACCTGAGACCTAGGTATGGCCCCTAGTGATGTCATTAATGCATTAATATGTTGTGCATTGAATATGAATCACAGTTGCTCATATATTGTCATTCAGATACACACACCAAGAAGATATTTTCTTGTTTGGAAAGAGAGACAAAAATCTTAGTTAAAGTGTCTGTTCTATCAAGGTGAAATAAACATATTATTCCTCTTATTTTCGTAAAGAGACAGGAAAAGGAACACTTAATCTAGCCTACTTGTTTCTGGAAAGCCAGCATGGTATAGTGAACTGACTATATGACTATGACTCTAGAGACCAGGGTGCAAGTCACTGCTCAGTCATGGAAGCCCATTGGGTGACCTTGTCACACTTCTCAGTCTCAAAAGTCACACTTTCTTATCCTCAGAGGAAGGCAAATCCCCTCTGAACAGTTTATCTTGCCAAGAAAACTTTATGATAGGTTTGTTTTAGGGTTTCCATAAGTCAGAAACAACTTGAAGGCAAACAACAACATACTTCTAGCCAGAAGAGCAGAGACTGAGCCATAGTATTGGTACAACTAGTAAGGAAGGAGGAAGCTAACTAAATAAATACAGGGATAGACTCACTGTGAAACTTTGCAAGTTACATCAAGAAATCAATTAGGTCTTTTGGCTGTAGCAAGCCAGTGCTCTATTAGATGATCTGGACATTTGCATACAGGCACCCAAACTTGAGATTTTGCACCCTTGTCTCCCACCTGAAGATGACCCATGAAAACTAGAGAGTGAGGGTCAGGCCCGGAAATCAAGCAACCCCTTACAATAAACATTCAACTAAGGGGTCACAAATGCTGTGGTTTTAGATGTTCTTGCATTTAAATACAGATGAACCAGCTTGGTGTAGTGGTTTGAGTGCTGGACTCTAACTCTGGAGACCAGGATTTGGTTTCCCACTTGGCCATGAAACCCACAGGATGACCTTGGGCAATTCAGATGCTCGTAGTCTCATGGGAAGGCTGTGGCAAACCTCTGAACAAATCCTGCCAAGCAAACCTCATGATAGGGTTGCCATAAGTCAGAAATGACTTGAAGGCACACAACAACAAGTAACATACAAATTATCAAGGTGAAAAACTGTCAATCAATAATACACCTTTCTATTTATTCTTTTGGGTGTGCATTCATGTCATTGCACAGGAACACATAAAATATTGGGCCAAGAACCAGAAATAAGCTATATTCCTTGTAAGATTCATAGGTAGCTGGCCTATAGACTACCAGGTCTGGATCATCAAGAGCCCTGCACCTTACTGCTTTTAAAAAACAAACAAACAAAAAACCTGACCTCTTAAAACTTTTTAAGCATTTCACTTCTGTCCAAGCAGCAGGAATTGAAATGAGGCTGTATCTTAACTAGTCTGATTAAATCAATAAAATTTCCATAACTGTTGGCTTAGCAAGTGCCCTTTGATTTAATGGATCTAATCTAGTTTGAACTATCAATTGGATTTAGTTGTTATGATACATTATATTGTGTGTCCATGAACCTGCCTCCTATACCTGCTGTCAAGTGCTTTTGAACAGTCCAGATCATCTCTTTCTATATGTTAAGTGATGCTACGTGATGTACCAGATTCCTTTACAGAGGCTAGACTGATTTGTTCTCAGCAACACTTGTATCAGCTAGGCACTTACTTTAGCTGTAATTATGCAAAGTGAGATGCTACATCTTCTAGTCAGTAGTAAGCCAAAAAAGCAAAAGGTCAAGCAAGCTTAGCACAGAACTCCTGTATAGTGGGCCTGTGAAGATGTCACCAGCCTTTGTAGAGACCTAATTGTGAGAATCAATTTTCTCAGCTTAGATTGATCAATCTATAAAGGAAAATTCACAAAGCATGATCTCTTCCTGCTCCTCCAGTGTTTCTTTGTCCAATGATGTAAAATGAAGTTGTGTGAGATTTTGTGTATGCATGGCAAACATTCAGCAGATGACTTGCTCCAAACCTACTGGATTTTAATGGATACATACAGGAATGTTTTGTATTGTTAAGTACTCTACTTTTTATTGAATTGTCAACTGATAGCTACAAACTATGCAAACTGATCATCCACATGACAAAACAAGCATTTTGTTTCATGAGTTCCATTGCTGTGTGTGTCAGTTTTCTCAGTTGTTTCTTGGGAACAGGCACAAGGTTGATATTTCTCCACCTACCTCTTGCTCCCTAGTATATTATTTGGCATGGGATAAGAGGGAGTGATTGAATATCTAAACTGCTTGCTAGCATGACTTATGCTACAAATAAGCCTTGCCACAAGGCAATACAAAAAGGCAACATTCTTAAACTATGCACTGGGATTATCAGTGGGTTTCATCAGACTTTCAGGTGGTCTTCAGTACTCTGAAGGGTGGATAAAAAAAAAACTAGCAATGTGAGGAAAGAGGAAAAGAAATGGTAAGAAGTGAGGAAAAATATTTTGAAACATGCTGCAGTGGTGATGGGGTAGGGTGAAAATATTAGAGAAGGAGACCTCCACTTAGTACCTTTGAGCAGCAAGTTCTGCATAAACTTGGGGAGCAGTCATATAACCCAGTGTTGATGAGGAAAACTGAATTTGTGGAACTTGCTGAAGCAAGGAAACCATTGTGTCATAGAATTTAGCTAGTGTGGCATAGTGGTTTGAGTTTTGGACTGTGACTCTGGAGATCAGGGTTTGATTCCTCACTCAGCCATGAAACCCACTGAGCAAGTCACATGCTTTCAGTCTCATGGGAAGGAAATGGCAAACCCCCTCTAAACAAATCTTGACAAGAAAATTCCATAATAGGTTTAATAATAATAATAATAATAATAATAATAATAATAATTTTTATTTATATCCCGCCCCTCTGCGACGCAATTGGGGCGGCGTACAACACATTAAAACATCACAACAGAGTAAAATCAATCCAAATCCCATCCCATTTTCCCACACGACCCCCCCACCCCTTAAGAATGAATTAAACTAAAACAGGTTAAAATAACAATTATTAAAATATACAATACAAAATGCAATAAATTTATCAATAATGATATGCAGAGTGGTATTTAATTCAGGTGGTAGAAGGGCGATGGTCAGATCCTATATCTTCTGGGCTGGGAAGTTATTCAGGGAAGGCCTGCCGGAAAAGATCCATCTTAACTGCTTTTTAAAGCTGTCTAGAGTGGTAATGAGATGGATCTTGTCCGGCAGGTCATTCCACAATCTGGGAGCGGAGAAGGTCCTTAAGGTCACCATTAAGTCAGAAACAACTTGGCACACTTAGCAACAGAGAATGGAATCAGTTTAAAATTATATCAGCAATTCATAGAATGAAAAAAGTTGGTAGTAATAATAATAATAATAATAATAATAATAATAATAATA